TTTGACCTGAGGAAATGTATAATGACTGAAGCTCACAATTCGAAGTTTGCTATGCATCCGGGAAACACAAAGATGTATCATGACTTGAAACAGAATTTCTGGTGGCCGGGAATAAAAAAGTGTATTGCAGATTTTGTAGCTCGATGCTTACATTGCCAACAAGTTAAAGCTAAACATCAATGACCTGCTGGATTGCTACAGCCGTTTCCAATACCGAAATGGAAATGAGAACATATCACAATAGACTTCATAGTGGGATTACCTTGCTTTTCTTGAGGTATGGACTCTATCTGGGTAACTATTGATCGTTTGACTAAATCCGCACATTTCTTACCTATCAACTCTTTGTATAATGCGGATAAGTTGGCTAACTTGTATATTAATGTGATTGTGAGATTACATGGTGTGCCAGTATCTATTGTATCTGACAGAGATCCTAAGTTCACTTCAAGGTTCTAGTAGAGTCTACAGCAAGCTCTAGGGACTGAATTGAGATTAAGCAATGCTTATCACCCATAAACAGATGGCCAATTTGAACGGACCATTCAAATATGGAAAGACTTGTTACGAATGTACGCCCTAGATTTCCAAGGTAGTTGGGAAACCTATTTACCATTGGCCGAATTTGTGTATAACAATAACTACCGTTCGAGTATCGGCATGGCTCCTTATGAAGCTTTGTATGGCAGAAAGTGTCGTTCTCCGATTTGTTGGGCCAAGGTAGGTGACAGACCATTGTTAGGACCGAAACTTGTGCAAGAAATAACTGAAAATATGAAATTGATTCGATAGAGATTGAAAACTACATAAAATCGCCAAAAGAGTTATGCGGATGTCTGAAGAAGAGATAGAGAATACGAAATCGGCAATCACGTGTTCATCAAGATAACTCCAATGAAGGGCCAGACACAATTTGGAATGAAAGGTAAGCTAGCACCGAGATGTATTGGACCTTATGAAATTCTTGAGAATATCAATTTAGTGATGTATCGGGTAGCCTTACCGCTAGTCATGGAACATATGCATAATGTTTTCCAAGTTTCGATGCTTCGAGAATTTACGAGATCCGCTCCATATAATTGAGTCGACTCATGTGCTTCTGAAAGATGACTACACATATGAAGAAAGACCAATTCAAATTGTGAATTGAAGAATCAAAAGATTGAGGAGCAAAGAAATTCCGTTGGTGAAAGTGGATTGACAAAACCACGGAGGGACATATGCAACATGGGAGACAGAAGAGGACATGATGAAGAGATACCCAGATTTGTTTCCTCTAGACCTGATATTTTTCTAAAATGAAGGTAATCCAAGTTTGAAGGACCAAAATCTTTAAGGGGGGAAGACTGTAACAACCCCAACCATTAATTAATGTATAATCCATGATTAAAAATGCTTAAGAAGTAATTAAGATGGAATTTTGTATTCATTATATGTATTATGTGCTATATGAGTTTTTATCTATTCTGCGTAGAAATATCTGTTTCTATTTCTGTTTTATTTTGCGAATTGAAGGCCTTATCGGCATCCGATTACGGAATTGACTTGATTTCTGTGCTAGTTAGAATTTTTAGAACGTTTAATTAAAATTCGATTCAGAACGCATTAAATTAGAATAATTAGTGTCAATTGCTTAGCTTAAGTTAAGATTAATTAAATGTCCTAAGCAAGCCTATACAAGGCCTATACACACCACTTGAGTCACCTTTTTTCTCATCATCTTTGAGCCTTCAAGAGACAAACGTGAGAGAGAGGAAGAGAGACCAAGGGGGTTGAGATCAACACTCAAGCTTGGACGGAATTACTAAAGAATTCAAGGAAATTGGCTTGGAACCTTAGAGAATTCACCAACAAGAGCTCCATTGAGAAGTTGAGGTAGGAATTCAACCCTTGAATTGTATACTTACGATGTCTAAACCACAAATTCAAGAGAAATTAGTTGTGTAATACAAGGGTCGAACTAGAATGGGTGAACTTGAGCCATATCATGCATGCATACACATTTTCTTACATTTTGAATTAAATTTCAAGTAATTCTCACATGCATGTGCTAAGTCTACCTTTGTTTTGAGAGGTCATCTTGTGTTGCATCATTTTATACCAATTGATCATGTGTTTGGGAGCTTTAAAGTTAAGATAAAACATGCATGTTATGTTTTTTAAAGAATTGAGCTTAGTCTTGAGCATTTGGCATGCTTTTGGGCCATGATTTCATGAAATGATCTTGAATTCTCAATATTTTCCAAGTTTAAATGTGGTTCCTCAAGTGTTTCGCTCAAAGGGATGAGTTTTGTAGCTTTAAAGTTGAGTTTGGAAGCTTAGAGGTGAATCTGGAAATCCCAAAATTCGACCTCTCCGCTCGAGCGACAGATCCTGCGCTTGCTACCTTTGTTTTGCATCTTCGCTCGAACGACCAGAAATCTGCTCGAGCATGAAATGCAAGCTCCCAAAAGTTTCCATGCTTTGCAGACCGCTCGAGCGACAAGAGTTGCGCTCGAGTGAGGACCTGAGTCTCACACTCGAGCGATCGTTGAGTGGGCATCGAGCAGGAAAATCAAGCAACCAGTATTTTTGCAGAGTTTGCAGACCGCTCGAGCGACATAAATTGCGCTCGAACGACCACTCATATTTTCGCATGTCTGCTCAAGCAAAGGAAGTTGCGCTCGAGCGAGACCCCTATTTTTAACAAGTTTTATAAAATGTTTCCAAGTACATTTTAGCATCCTCATTGTATCCTAGCCTTTCTTATGCCAAGATTAAGACATAATAATGAGGATAAGAAGTAGAAACACTCAAAGATAAGAAAGGATTAAGTTAATTATTCCGGATGTGTAATTCAGTACATGTTCATTCTATAACTGTGTAGGTCACGCGCCACAAGATATCTGATTTGCCTACTCTGTCTGTTTGCTTTGGAGCCAACTGTGAGTAATAACTTGGTAAAGCTATGTTCAACTTTATTTATTTTCTGTATATAGAATAAGACTTGTTTTAAGAAATGTTATGTTCTGTACAATGAATGATTGTCCAATTTCTAACAAGAACTCGTGGCAACAATTTCGTGGTTCCAGTATGTTATCTGTTCCTGGTACTGGACGTTTCTTTATGGAACTGACAAGTTATTCGTTCCCAGTACTGGAGGTTCCTTTATGAAACTGACAAGTTATTTGTTCCCAGTACTGGAGGTTCCTTTATGGAACTGACAAGTTATCTGTTCCCAATGCCGGAGGTTTCTTATGGAACTGACAAGTATGACCCGTAATGCTTTGTATATGATCTGTTAGCACTATTGAATGTACCAAGTTTACTCAAGTATGAAGAATGTGAATATGAGTCTGTATTCGATCTGATTTATGTTGTGCTTTGAACGAGAATATAAATATGAATATATTTTCGAATCTAGTAGGGGGCGTCATTAATTTAAACCCTTTACTCTATTATTATTCACTAGCTTGCGCTCACTATTTATGTTAAGTATGTAGGTGAGCAAGCGTGTGACCAGGCTTAAGCTGCTGCCTGGCGAGTTTTGGGTCAGCCAACCACCGTGCCTCTCGGGGAGGTTCCCTTTTGAGATGTCATATTTTGTGAACTTCGTTAAAGATGTTTGTTTATTTGTTTACCTGTATAGTGAACTAAGTCCCACCAGTACTGGAGGTTCCTTTATGGAACTGACAAGTTATCTGTTCCCAATGCCGGAGGTTTCTTATGGAACTGACAAGTATGACCCGTAATGCTTTGTATATGATCTGTTAGCACTATTGAATGTACCAAGTTTACTCAAGTATGAAGAATGTGAATATGAGTCTGTATTCGATCTGATTTATGTTGTGCTTTGAATGAGAATATAAATATGAATATATTTTCGAATCTAGTAGGGGACGTCATTCATTTAAACCCTTTTACTCTATTATTATTCACTAGCTTTCGCTCACTATTTATGTTAAATATGTAGGTGAGCAAGCGCGTGACCAGGCTTAAGTTGCTGCCTGGCGAGTTTTGGGTCAGCCAACCACCGTGCCTCCCGGGGAGGTTTCCTTTTGAGATGTCATATTTTGTGAACTTCATTAAAGATGTTTGTTTATTTGTTTACCTGTATAGTGAACTAAGTCCCATTTTGTTATATATGTAATATATATATATATATATATGACATGAACTACCGTAATTACGACGTCACGCCTATGATATATAGTTTGAAATTTCTGTCCCATATATGTCAACACAGCTCTATGGATTATCTATGTATATTTGCTTCCGCAGCCCCTAATTATATGTTATTCTGTTAAGAGGCCTTTGGTAATCTAAGGATTACTGGCCGGTCACGACGCTAAACCTATAGGGGCATGTTTGGGTCTTGACAATAAGCATATGAAAGTTATATAATACAATATATATATATATATATATATATGTTCGTATGGTAAAAATTGAGACGAAAATGTAAGAAATTAGAGTTTTTGAAATAAAAAAAATATGACAAAGAAATCAATGAGAAAGAAAGATAAATAGACAGAAGACTATGTTACCATGAAAAATAGAATTTTGTGATTCCAATTTATGAAAAACCCTAGTTCATTTTCTTAATTGGTCACAATCTGCATCTTGTTTTGGCCTAATACAATCATATTTTAATGTAAACTTTGGGATAAAGTGTGTATTGGTGAAAAATATAGATGATTTTCCTTTCTTAACCTCATGTCAAAGTGACATTCTTATCACATGACTTGATTACGTTAAAGATTTAAACAATTAAATAACATAAAAGGAATATTGACACTCATGTAGAGATCAAAGTGAGATTTTATCAAAAGTACAGAGAATTGACTGTCACAATTTCATATGTAGGTATCAAAGTTGGATTTGACCAGAAGTGTAGGGGGTTAATTGTCATGATTTTATGTATAAAGGCTAAAGTGAAATTCAGTGCAAAATGTAAGTTTGCAAAGTATAATTTATCCCAAAAAATAAATAAATAAATAAATAAATGTTTGTCTTCATTTTCTCACCAAATGACACCATCCAAACAGTGTGATAGCTAGGAATTAAGCTGACAATAATAATAATATACATTTCGCGCAATCCCCAAATCATCTGAACATTCTTCTTCCAACAAGAAAAATGGCGGAGAAATTGGCACCCGAAAAACGCCACGGCTTCTTCCATGGCGGTACCCTCGTCGTTTTCACCCTCGATTCTCTCTTCTTCTTCTTTTGTTTGTCTTGGATTAGCTGTATTTGGTTTTCTAGGGTTTTGATCTTTTCAAGTTACTTCAGGTCAGAAGGTTTTCGAATGGGATCAAACCCTAGAGGAAGTGAACATGTACGTTACGCTCCCTCCCAATGTCCCCAAGAAGCTCTTCTACTCCAAGATCCAGTCCAAACATGTCGAAGTTGGCATCAAAGGCAACCCTCCTTATCTCAATGTTTGTCCCTCTCAATTGTTACATATAATTTTGTATTGCTTTTCATTACTTTTGTTACTTACTTCTTAATCTCTCCCTCTTTCTCTTTGCATTTATAGCATGATCTCAGCTGCCCTGTCAAGACTGACTCTTCATTTTGGACTATAGGTACACATTTGTTAAATGTTTTTTATTTTTTAGAACTCTTCTTGCATTGTAAAATTGGAAGTTTTGGTAAATTATTCCAGTTGGGTGTTGGAATTAGGGATTTTGATATGCCGGGTTGATATTAATTTATGCGAATTTGCTCTCGAAGTGGTTGTTAAATTGGGGTTTTTGGTTACGACTGCTGGTAGATATTTATAAATGCTTTTTAGAGATTGTGCATTGTAAAATTGGAAGTTTTGGTAAATTATTCCAATTGGGTGTTGGATTTTGGGATTTTGATATGGCGGGCGATGTTAATTTATATGTGATTTTGCTTTGGAAGTGGTTGTTAAATTAGGGTTTTTGGTTTGGACTACAGGTTATTTATATATGATTTTCAGAGCTTGTGCATTGTTAAATTAAAAATTTTTGTAAACTATTTCCATTGGGTGTTGAAAATTAGGGATTTTTATATGGCAGTGGATGTTAATTTATGCAATTTTTCTTTGGAAGTGGTTGTTAAATTGGGGTTTTTGGGTTTGGACAACAGGTAGATATTTATAAATGCTTTTTAGAGCTTGTGCATTGTAGAATTGGAAGTTTTTGTAAATTATTCCAATTGGGTGTTGGAAGTAGGGATTTTGATACTGCGGGCGCTGTTAATTTATGTGATTTTGCTCTGGAAGAGGTTGGTAAATTGGTTTTTTTTTGTGTGTGTGTGGTATGTTAGAGGATGATACTCTACACATAACTCTACAGAAGAGGGACAAAGGACAGACGTGGCCGTCTCCTATACTGGGTGAGGGACAACTCGATCCTTATTCAGTGGATGTTGAACAGAAGCGCCTTATGCTTCAGAGATTTCAAGAGGAGGTCAGTAAGAACCCTTGGTTTTTTGATGATGAAATTTGTTGCATTTGTCATTTACTTGTTACCATAGTTGATTCGTGCTTCTTGAATAACACAGAAAGCCATTTGTAAAACTAGCCCTTTGCTTATGCAATCTTGGAAATGATCAGTGATGGTTTTGACTGAGGAAACAGACAATTATAGAATTAGACAGTGGGAGACTATTTTGACCCAAATGTTTCTCGTAGGCCTAATTCCAATGTGTTCTTTGAATCGGATGCTCTTTGCTTTAAGTGGTTTCATTGGCATTTTACATAGCATTTATAGAAAATAACTGTATTAGAGTGATGGCAAAAAATTGGAATTTTGTCATTTCAAGGATAGCTAAAAATAAATTCATTCCGTGAGATATTAATCAACCCCTCCATATTGACCAGTCCTGATAGGATGATGGATTTTCACTTCACATGCCATGGAAAGTTCTATGGAGTCATTCAAACACAAGGGGTGATGCAGGATAACATTTACAAAAATGAGTTTAATATGGGCAAAAAAGGCAAACTAGTTACTTTCTGAAAGATGATTAAGAAGAGGAAGAATAGAGGAAAGAGGCATAGTTTGAAGAGTCACACTTTAGTATATCAAGAGAACTTGCTCCTTATTCAAGAACAAGGGAACCCTAGATAATAAGATTTAGGGTCTCACTCACTTGCAACTAAGAGAAGATAATGGGGGAGAATTTTTATTTTTTTTTAATGATATACAATTCGTTCATTTTAGTTATTTCACAAAAAGAAAAAAGAAGAAAACCGGGGATCTCATGAATTTCATGTAGTATTCAGTTTCACGTATAAGATACGAAGATGTACTTCCCACTTGGAATTGCATAGAACAAGAACAGAAATATTTTTATGCATCAAAAACCCCAGGTTTAGCAGGCTAAATGTATTAACAAAGGCATCACAAATGATATGACTCGGGATATTGATTTTGGTTTAGTTCTGGCACAATCAAAAATGATATGTACCCAGTACTTTGGGTCACATTAAGTGCTGCATATTTGTTTACTTCCATATTTTTGTTTGTAATGCTTCAACTCCGAGGTATTCGCCTGCTATATGTTTATGTTGTTTACAATTTATGTAAATTCTTTTTTTTCTTCATTGTACTCTTGTTGGTTTCCAGAGGTGTAAATAACCTTAATTTGGTAAGCAGCTGAAGTTTGAGTTCTGCTCAGTTTTGTGCAGCAATATCAAAATGACAAATGGAACATGGTAGTTGACAGGATTCTTGCAAGTTCATATTAATAGATGGAATGTAATAGGAAAGGGATTTACTCGTTATGAAGTTTTTAGCTTGAAGAAGTGGCAATAGATTGTTGATTCTTACCCACAGGGCCACAGCCATAATAGATGCCTAATGAAGTTATGTTAGTTCTTTTATGTTATTATATATATTGAGTATAGTTTCGCCCTTCTTTTTATAATATTGCCAATGCTTTCCATTCATGGAATTTGCATCGCGTTGTTTCTGACCAACTTGATATAATGAATCCATGATATTTCAAGACTTTTCCAGTGGAGTTGAGATGTGTCATGGAATGCTAAGGTGATCCTTTCTCCTCATCCTTCTTCTGCTTCTTTTTTCTTTTTAGTCTCATCCATGTTTGGTGGTGTGTTACCTTCCCAAACGAAGATTTGCAATAATCACACCTCAAGCGTGATTGGATAGCATCGTTATTACTCATATTTTGCTGCCTCTGTTTGTTTGACCCAACATAAGTAGCTTTTGCACACTGCTATGATGGCCTGATTAATTTGATTAACCGAAATTATAGTGGCAGTCAATATTTAGGGGAACCTGATTGTTTAATACACATACATATCATTATGTTGCTATTTTTTTGTTTTGAATTGTTTTCTTTGATTCCTTAAATTATAGTTTATGTCTTCCAATATTTTTCTAATTGAATTTCCTGTTTACTCTTGCTGTTTGCAGAACCCAGGATTTGACTTCTCACAGGCTCAGTTTACAGGAAACTGCCCTGATCCAAGGACATTCATGGGTGGTATCAGATCTGATTGACAAACTTGTATACTGAATCTGAAATGAACAATGACATTAACTCCTTGTCTTAACAATTTAATAAGTAGAATGTTAAATTAAACCTGCTTTTAAATGCTTAGCTTATCCCTCTATCTATGAATGCGACTTTTGTAATATATATATATATATATATTTTATGTACATACATTGCGCAGTGCTTATAGCCATATGCTTCTTGTACCTTGCACAATATATCCTTCACTTTGTAGTTTGGATATCTTTTATCATGTCAGATGGTTATAATTTGGTAGATTGTCTCTGAATCTTTTTTACCACACTTAAAATTCACATTTTTGGATTAGAAATATATTCATTCAAAGGAGGCAGATGCAATGGAAGATTACCCGATTAAGAGTTGTATCTTCCATATTGGATGGGAGGAGATTTTTTTGCAATTGAAAGAAATTCTGAAGTTATGAGGCCATGCAAAGAAGAGTACCCATGGAACTGAGAGGCCTGGAAAATGTGTGTTATATGATAGACCAGTGTCATATATGCATGTTCTCTGAATTACTCAGAAAGCTAGCATGTACATTGCTTGGTTGACATTTGGTGAAGAAATTTAAGAGGTTATTTGACACACTGATGAGGGAATATGCTGATGGGGTTATATACCCGCTATAGAAATTATTGGTTGAAAGAATCAAACAATTTAAACTATTCTCAAGTACAATTTTCTGACTTCATGGGATCAAGGACTACAAAAAAAATATTTGCATTGGAAATTTACCTTAATTCAAGTGATCTTTTTACAAAACTGAGGATGAGGATGAGGTAGAGGTAAAGGTAAATGGAGGTGTAAATTGTAGAAATTGCAGTGACAGGCACAATAATCGTTTTGAAATTTGGGGTTTACAAAACTTTAGCTTGAAGGCAAAAAGTGGTTAGCTAAACTGCCATGGGTTTAGGCTGGTGATGTGTCTGTCTTACAAGGCTGCAATGCTGATCTAGTTTAGCAAGTGTGGCCATAGTATAGTACAATGGAGGAGATTCTTTCACAGAGTGGGTATGTATGATCTGTAAATATGGCTGTTCTTTTGTTAGTGTTTGTTTGGGAAGTGGGTTAACTTTTTGGCTATTTTAGTTTGAGACAAAAAGCCTCGTTTGGGAATAACTTTTTAGTTTTTTTGACTTTTTGTGAGAGAAATAATGTAATGATTATGGATTGGATGTGATGTTTTGTTTTATTAGGATAAAAAACCTATTTTGTTTTTTTGTGGCTAAAATAACCCCAAACCCACCCAACCTATTCTTTCCAAACGAATCCTTAATTAGTTGTTTTGTTCGGTTATTGTTTCTTTGAATTTTTTTTATTTTTTATTTTTTGACATGGTATCTGTTGGTTGCACTTACCACTTTGTATTAATGGTGAATCTACATCTTTCTTTTACGATTCATGAAGAAATGGTCTTGGCAAGAATTTGTAGCTTGGTTGGTTGTCTCAATTTTCAAATTAGTGTAATATTTGTTTGATTAGATTCATCAACGCCACTAGTGATTTTAGTTAAAAGTTTCTTTCTAGCAATGTTGGACAACAGAACGAATTATAGAATGGTTCACAAAAAAATGCAACTGATGACTAAGATTAAACTCTAGTTATGGTGAAATTCATATTCAAAATAAATCTCAGTCATTTAATATATTTTTTATGAATCATTCTATATTTTTATGTAGTGTTATCATTATTAGTGATTTCTTTACATTGTGTTTTAAATTTCTATCTAAATCAATCCATGATGTAAGGTTGTGGCATTCGAAAATTTGGATCACTTTTGGATTTTCCAAGTGGTATATCCTCCGTAGAGTGGTCAAAACATATCAATGTACATAGATATATTTGAAGCAGAAAAGCATGTGGTGGCTAGTGTAACACCCACATGCTATATAACTACTACTACAACATTGGTGAGATGAGCACCCAGTTACAGATCTCCTTCGGATAAAACCTGTCAGACCAAAAAAAAAAAACAGAACCATTTTAAAAGCTAGGGTTAGTTACAAGATATGAATGAACATGGTATTATATATAAATAGAAAAACAATCTGAGTCATATATATATATATATCATCACTCTGGTGGTAGTTTCAGTTTCATCATACTTCATGCTACCACATGCTTGATGATGGAAATTACTTCACACAAACAGACAAAGCATTATCTTGTACATATCCAAAATAATAATAATAAGAAGAATAAGAATGGCAATAATTACTATTATTACTAAAAAAAATTAATTAAACTTTCCACTTCTACAGTAAAACAGAAAATGATTGCTTGGAAAACGAATTACCTGAAACATGGCTCTGCCAAATTGTGATTAGCCAAAAGGATTTGAAATCCCAGATTGGATTAGTCATTGTGTTTTCACTTTCTCACTTCACTCTGTTTTCTTGGAGAATTTTTTTTGTACCTCGTAAACCCATTTTTGCAGGCCGACACCTGCGCAAGTGTAAAACATTGATCAAGATTATGAATTTCTATACACACATGTAAAACAATAAATATTTTTAGCTATTTTCTCAATTATGATTAATTATTCATGATTTGTAAATGATACCAATTCACACTTACTGAATTAATAAACATTATATTATGATATGAATAGAATTGTCTGACATACTTTGTCCAACTAGGTGAAAGAGAATATTAGTCTTATATTTCTCTTTTACACAAAGACATGAATATACTTAAGTAATGTTTTAAAATTATCAAATAATTTTCTTTGGTCCATAATTTTTTTTTTTAAACCATCTTCTAGAAGGAAAAAAAAAAAAAAAAAATTGAATTCAGTCATTCTCAAGGCAAAAATCAACTTGTGAAACGATAAACATTGGGAAATGGGGTCAGGCTGAGGCAACTTGAGTAGGATTCAAATTTTCCCATCTGAAAGTAAGATTTGTCAAACAGCCACCAACAATGACATATAAGATGTGAGGTGATTTTTTTGATTATTTTAATTTGGAGTTAAAAATTTTATTTAGAATAGATTTTTTGATTTTTTTAATTTTTGTGAAAATAAAATAAAATAATTATGATTTGAATGTGATATTTTATCTTATATAATTAAAATAATTTATTTTGTCTCATATAATTAAAATAGCCCAAACAAATATCCCAAACGGGGCCATAGATATCAAACCTATATTATCAATACTGATATAAATATTAAGTTTGAAAAAAGTACACTATACTCCCTTAATGCTTAGCCTCATTTACTTTAATTATTCATTAATTATATAAATAAAAAATATTGTTGCTATCTCATTCATTCTAAAATATATTTTTATTTTAGAGTGCTACTATTAGCACCTATCTTTCTTCTTTGGCCTCCTAATTTCTTTGAAGCCCCACCCAACAAAATGAAACCCCTCCATTTTTTCTTTAAACCCTCACTTTAATACCAATTATATCCCTCATCTTTTTGACTCCCAACTTTTTTTCTGCTATTTTCCTACCACCACCGACAGTCTCACCCCTCCGGTGACCTCCAGACTAGCGACCCCCTCTTTTTTTTCCCCCCCTATATCTAGCCTCTCTTTCTCTCTCTCTCTCTCTCTCTATATATATATATATATATATATCGATTCAAGGTTTTGAATCTCTTCAATCAATCTGTTGCAACTGTTCTGATCATTCCTTTGTGTGTTGCGATCATTTCAATTCTTCTATTACTTGATTTTAATCCGAAGATTAGCATTAAAAAAAAAATCAAAACTTTTATGATTTTTTTTTAAAAGTTTTCTTATATCTGATTTTAAGTTGTTCATCATTCTAATTAAATTCAATAGAAATTACCTATTTCTGTCTTGAATCTCTCTCTCTCTCTTGTGTTGTGATTGCAATCATTTATTCACGTATATATGTGATTCGATTAGACCCGAATCGATACTCAAAAATCATTTTGAATCGAGTAAAGTTGATGACGGGTCAACTCTGATCTCGAATCCTGTAACGAACTCAGACAGAGCACGCGAATCGTCAAAGATGAGAAAGAAGAAGAAAGTCCAAGCCACCAGAGAACAAATTGCCACCATCAAATTTCTCGGTTGTGGAAGTCAAAGTGCTATGAGACATCCATTTTCATTTTCCCAAATTGATGCATCATTTTTTTCTTGTTTTTGGACACAGATCAGAACAAATGTGAATCATATGGGATGTGGGTGAAGGAAGAGGGTGTGGCAGAGGCTTTAGGATGATTATAAGAGTGTGGGTAAGGCCATAGGGAGTGCGGTGCTGAAAGGAGGTGCGAGAGTGTAGGTGAGGGTAGAGGGAGTGGCAGCGGCACTGAGTTGGGAAGTGGTGGCAACGAATGGTGGTAGGAGGAGGTGCTGGAAAAGGAGATAAGGAGGTTGCGGACCATGGAGAGGCGGGGGGAGTGGTGGAGGGGGAGGAGCTGGCCTTGTAGAAGAGCTCGTCGGTGGGGCAGAGGTGGGTTTGGAAAATTAGGGTTAGGGTTAGAAAAATTAGGGTTAGAAGGTTAGGGATGAGGGTAAAAATGTAACTTTATATTTGGACAAAATTGGAATAAAAAAAAAATAGAGGGGTCCAAAGAAGAAAGGTAGGCGCTAATAACAACACTCTTATTTTACTTTTAATTATTTCATCTCTGTGTAATATCAATATTATTTCTAACCGTTTTAAAATGGAGATCAATCTAATTATATTCAATTTATAGAATTTATTATTTTTTTCCAAACTCAAAAATCATTAGTGTAATTTATCCTATTTTAAATGAATTTTGTTAATATATGCCTTTAAAATACATGATAAGAAATTTAAAAAGATTATGACTATGTTTGGCATATGATTTTCTTACTATTTTAGTCACAAAAGACAAAATAAACTAAAAAGTTAATAAAACAAAATGTCACATTTAAACCATAATCATTTTATTTTTTCTCTCATAAAAGTAAAAAAAAATCAAAAAATTTCATGAAGCTTTTTAACTCCAGATTAAAACAGCCAAAAAGTTAAAAATTCAAAAAGTCAACCCATATCTGTATATTCTACATGAAAATATGTATAATAAAATATATAATTTTTTAAAATTTTCGTAACGCTTTAAGCATATACATTAACAATACACATTTTAAACTATAGGGTAAATTAAATTTCAGTTGGACAATGAAAAATAATCTCACTTTGATAGCACTGCAAGTCTCTTCT